TACATAGCGGGTATCTTTTAAAAAAAAAGGCTTCGGTGTGTATAGCAATCGCAAATTGAATGTTCATTTGTGATTGAGGTAAACAAGAACAGGAATTGGTTTTTGTGATTTGAAAAACAATGAAAACAACTTAAAGCCTGCTTTCATCGTTTTGTGGTCACTTTTGCGACGTATACTCACAGCACTGCAGTTCATCAAATCCGTAGGGACAGTTCTTCAAACCATTGCAAACAGCTCGGGATTAAATGCAGAGCGTTGAATTCTCACATTGAAAAATGAGTTCACCTGAACACCCACCCGGCCCTGCAGAATATGACAGCCGAAACAGTCGTTTAATGTGGATCAAAGACAGAAAAAAAATAGCACAAAGTAAAAGCCTCATGTGTGTGTGTTTAAAATTGTCGTTTCTTGAGCAAGCAAACTTGAAAGGTACAATTTGTATGCTGAAATTATTAATAACTGACTGAATTGATTTAAATTGAATTGAAATAAGGTTTATAACCCTTTAAAGAAAACATACGTAACTATGATGACTAGTTCTCCTTGAAAAAAATGCCTGACAGCGAGCAGTTAGACAAAACTCCTGACATTGGAACTGGCTGTGCGTCTTTTAATTGAAATTGGCCTAATAAAGCTTTTGTCATTACTTATTCCTGTCGCAGTATTTTGAAACAGATGTTTGTGGAAAGCGAAAACTTGAATACTTGAAGAATAAACCATGCGCAACATTCACTTATTAGTGCGTAAAACCACGAAAGTTATTCACCCCATTAAAGGTTTTGTCTTTGGGCCTCCAAATATAAATGATATAAATTTCCCAGAACAAACAGTACAATGTACATGCATATGCTTACAGATTTCAAATGCCTCAATCGTCATTTTGAATCCTCTCCTCTGCTTAAACGCGTTGGTTTTCATTGTCACATTGATGATAGGAAGCCTTGAAGTTACCCTCTTAACGGGTGTGGTCCCGCTCAAGAGCAATCCGTTTCCTGAGCCTGTTGCTAAGTCACCGAGCTCTAAACCAGGTCCCTCCATTGTAACGACGTCGTACTGGCGTTCAGTATTAAAATCCAAGATGCGGATGACGATGAATCCACTAGACGCTCGAAACTCCCACTGGCAGCTCAGGTCGTTGGGATACAGATCGGGGTAATTAGGAGAGGTGAGAGCGTAAGGGACGTTGTCCTCCAGGTTTATTGTCCTCTGACAATTATCTGATGCACACGGCCATTGTGGAACAATTCCAAATTAATACCATGTAAAAACGTTAAGAATGACCTGTCTGTACATGAAACACAACAGGCTCTGCGCTTGCCAAGTTGCAACGAACAGGAGGTCGATGAAGAAAAGGTTTATTTCTTTGAAAACGAGTACCCGGTTTTCGCCAGATTCTTTTTTTTTTACAAAAAACACTTCTTAGGCGAATAGGAAAGAAAATAATCGAAATATTTATTTATCAAAGTACTAGCACCAAAACCCTAAGAGAACAATACCAGCAAAAAAACAAGGATGTCGGGACCATGAATGAGGTTGTTGATTCCCCCCCCAGTGTGGAATGAGCCAGAAGCCGCATTCACTTTTGAATCGCCCCCGACATCAAACGCTGGATACGCCTGGTTGGAAACTAATTTGGAGCATGTTGGTGATGTAAACAATAGTCTTTTTCCAATGAGCTTTATCCATCATGAGAATGGAGACATTGTACTTGATCCTCTGTGTAGTTTGATGCTCAGGTAATTTGTTATGTTCAGGAGAGGTAGATTTGAACTATATTTTTGAAAACATCCTAGCGTTAGATCGCTGAACATTTCAAAGCTTCTATTCAGCATCTCACCGATACCCAGCAAGAGGCTGTAACCGTATCGTCCTAAAAGTCCGGGGTCAGATTGGGACCCAGATTCCGGGCCCCAGGGGGCCTGATCGTTTACGGATCAGCATGAACCAGCATAAATTGATGCAGTTGGTGGATCTGAGACTCTTGCAATTGGTGCAGTTTTAGGTAACCATAAACGAGTAGGCCTAAACTGAATCCTGACTCCAAATGTTAACCTAGAAGTTTCATGACAAAACTGACCTAAACCCGCCGAAAGTCCGGGTTAATTTTGCCAAGGAAGTAGGGTTCCAAGTCATCCATATTCAGGAAATTTGCCAACCCGGCATGTCTGGGTTAAGGTGACCTGGAAAGGGGTTAAACGCAGTTTGACCCAGAGCTGGGTCAGAAGTGATGACCCTTTTCTGAATCAAGCTGGCCCAGAAAGGGTTACAAAGAAATTGACCCGGAGGCCGAAACAAAAATCTGACCCGGAACTTTCTAGAATGTAGTATGAGCAAGATGTTACCAAATTGTTTATTGCAAACTCGGTGGGCTTGACGGTCAGCCTATAACGGGGCCCTGATATTGTTGATTAAATGGGAGTTTGCAGATATCATGATACTGGACACTTAAACAGACATAGTTATTCCGGAGTAAAACATCACCCCAAGATTCCTGGATTACCATGGAAAGGGGGGACGTCCATTTCTGCAAAAAGTTGATTCTTGAAACCAATCACTACCTTTGTCTTGTTGACGTTAAGTTTAAGGAAATTATAGATAAAATCCACTGTCCCATGCGCATCCATGATACAGTCTTCTATACTCTTGGCATGGCTTTAAAAAAAAACCGCAAAAGGCACAGTAGGACAAATCGAAATTTATATCTCTGTTGTCAGCATATATGTGGAATCCCATAAAATTACTGCAAATGACTTGAGCATCAGGTGGTAGGGTATCATTCAGAAACAAAAGGGGACCACGCTACGACCCCTGGCGAACTCTGAATTCAAAAGTGAGGATGCTGAGAAGTTGTAATTGATGTGGACATGCTATGTTCTTGTCAACTGATGCAAAGTGATCCATGCACTTGAGTGAAGCATCAGACACTCCGAGAAGCCTTCCCATCCGATCAAATTGGACTTAATCAATCTTGTTACTTAGGTGAAGCAGGACAGTTAAGGATAATAACGTGCCACTTTCCATGGTCCACGTGACACCATTGCCATGATCCCAAAGGAGAGCCATTTCAGTTTTGTGAAAATGCTTATACGTTGACTGTATATCATGGTCATCAAGAACCCAAGGTTGAAGATTGAGTTCAACAATCACAAGAATTTCTTTAGCAACTGTGAAATCTTACAACACTTTAGAAATGTTCCAAGAAGCTCTTGGGCTTTTGTTGATTTTGTGTAGAAGGAAGTAGTCTTTAAATGACAAAAGCATCAAAATTTAAGTCCCCGTAGAGAAGACACTTTCCATAATTTCCATTACCAACGAACTATGTTTCAGAGAGGGCAAATATGTCAATTCATAAGTGGTGACGTATATGTAATAATGCGATAGGGCGATTAACTCAACAGTGAAAGGAGTTAAAGGCAATTTATATTTTAGTTTATCGCCCGTCTTACTTTTGTTTCTCCTCTTGTACGTTATTACATTCAGTAGATGCACAGAACAAACCGTTTTCGAACGAATCAGCAGCCAGATAATGAAGTTCTTGTGTTGGTTTTGCTGAGTACTCATTTGTGTAAGTGATTCATTGGAGTAAGTGAGCATGCTTGGTCAGTCCACGAAGCAGAGATCAAGAAAAAGTGGCAGTTTGCCCAGAGAAGGTGCCACTGACAACTACGTGCAAATTGCCTTGTGAGCTCTTCTTGTAAAAATTAGACGTTGTTATTGATGAGCTCCAGGCGAAGAGAAATTGATTGTAAGATACAGTTTGTAAATTTCATGTGGATCGCTCCAAAACACGCCAAATGAGTCACTGTTGATAATCAATCGAGATGACAGCAGATACGTTCAAGCATGGCTTCTATTTCCATATGATTTATGCAGCGCAAATATGAGGGTGTAGCCCCACACCTAACATTCTGCAAGTTATTCTTAATAAGTAAACATGGGTGTAAATGTTTGCAGCGGCTTAACGTGAGTGGATGAGTGTGCTCCTAGAAGCCAAACCCGTTTCAAAGCCGCATTTTACTATTGTGCTGCCGTAGAAATATTACCACCGAGTTTATAGGTGTGGATTTTATAGCACATGCCACCTCTCAGAGTATGACCCACGTCATTTCCTTCCAAAAACTAACACCAGGATGTCATTAAGAAAACAAAAACTGTGAACTCTTAATGGCGTGCAAAGTTAACATTTAGTCCGCGTATGCAGATATCTTTATACCTAGACGCAGCAACTTAATATTTATTCCCGGAATAGAGATATCTCTATAGTAATAGAGATATCTTTATCCCTAATAGAGATATCCTATAAATAATACATATATCTTTATTCTCTTATAGAGATATCTCTTTTATTCTCTTATAGAGATATCTCTTATAATAATGGAGATATCTCTATTAATATATCCCGCTTCCGAGGTCAGCAATGGAACAGCCAGGAAGTCTTGTACCGTCTGGATAAACATAGGAAAGGTCTAGGCGTTGGTGTTCTATCGTGGAAAATCCCCTTCTTCAATTGCCTTTGTACCCTAATCCTTATCGATGTTTGACTGAAAGCCTGCCCCATATTTAATTCCAAGCATTTATTACAATATGTGAAAAAATACCGAATTTCCAGACTATTTCACAAAAAGAACAGGAATTAACAACCTGGATACTTAATCACTATAAACAAGCGTTTGTGCAATGAACAAACGAGAGGTGATTGGGCTAAAAATGCAGTTGGAATAGGTACATCGTTGGGATTGTCCGTGAGTAAGCAATGGACAATTGTAATTGTTTTTTATCATCGGCAGGTTACAAGTATAATTAATTAATAATACAAGCCAAAAGCCTTGGACAATGAACACTATTATTTGTTCTTTCATTGAACTGGTAATTTAAGATTATGTTCTTCAGGATTTATTTGTTTGTGATTTGTTTGGAAAATTAAAAGCTCTTTTCATTGCTTCCGGTCAGATGAGATCGTCAGCCTGACGGTTTGCAGACCCAATACAAAATCCACTTACAACAGTGTTGTTCATCGAAGGCGAAGGGACAGTCCTTTAAACCATCACAAACGGTACGGGATGAAATGCAGAGCGTTGACCCCTCACACTGGAAATCAGGCTCGCCGGAACACTCACTCGGCGCTGCGAAAAAAATCTGATTTCAACTGTTTGCACAGAAATGACAACATTGCACGGCAAAAAACCGAAACATTGTTAACCTAAACTTCATTAGGTTTAATGAAAAACACAAACGATATTTTTAACAGTGACTTAGCCCAGGGGGGGGGCTTGGAGCACGTATACCCCCCACAAGCATATATGCGTGCAAACGCCTTCAATTGTGGACTCCCTATTGTTCCTCTTTTGTTCGTACTTGAACTTTTTAGGAAGACCTCCCATATCTTTTGTACACGTTTTTGAACCGTGGACTATTCGGCAACAGTGGACCATATTGTCTCCTATTGTTATAGGTCCACGATTGAAGGCGTTTACACACTCACACACACAAATTCTCGGTGCCCCACCCCCAGGTGCCCCCCCACCGTAAAAAAACAACAAAAAACAAAACCAAAAAAAAAAACCCAACAACAACAGATGAATGGATATTGAACAAGTCCAACAAAACCCTGCCCCCAAAACCACACCACTGATAGCTGGTGTCCCCCATAAGATGCTCCTGCCCCCCTGTAAAATCCTAGCTTTGCCACTGATTGTTAGGATCAGTTGTTGAAAAATTCATGGCAGCTATAGAGAAAAGGTAACAGTGACCGATAACAATCTCTCTGATATACTGACATTTCGTTTTTGGTTAATTTTGGATTAATTTCGGGTCCTGTTTTAGAAAATTTACAACAGTCATTGGGACTGTGGTATGGTGATCACTTAGTGTTTAGGATCGTCGGACATCAGGGAAGAGAAGATTTTTTTATTTCATTTAATAGGTGAGCGGGAGGGTCGAATTTTAGACATCAGCTATGTCGGTATGAAGAACCTGCGCGGTGATATAGGGGGGGGGAGAAATGTCTTATTTTTTGAACAGCGGCAAGAGAAGATTTCTTTTCTTCTTTTATTTCAGAGCAGGAAAGGGGGCGCCCAAGATGCCAAGGACATGGGCCTCAGCTGAGGGCGTGCCCCCACTGCCTTAGTTACGCCACTGATCAGAGAGTAATCTGAAAGGCTTGCATGACCACCGTCAAGAATCTTGTGAGTAGTCATAACCCACAACTCATATCACCCAATCTCTCATTAAAGATTTTTCCTGATTTGACGGTGCACACGTTAGTAGAGACAGGCAAATTCTGGAATCTAATAAATCTAATCAATTATTTTTGCCGTAAGAACTTATTGATTGTGGAACTTTTATTGAACAGAATCATGAGGATTCGATTCTCCGGGATGCAATTATAGATGACGTAACGTGAAACATCTACAAATCACACTGCAGATATTTTTCGGAATTGTTTTTGTCCCCAGGCTTCCAAAGTATGAGTTTTCCATACTAAATGATACATGTACTTACTAGTTTCAAACGCCTCAATCTTCATTTTGAATCCTGTTCCCCGCATGAACGCGTTGGTTGTCATCGTAATATTTATCATAGGAAGCCTGGAAATTACCCTTGTAACGGGTGTGGTTCCGCTTAAGGCTACTTTGTTTCCCGGGCTTGTCGCCAAATCCCCAAGCTCCAAGCCTGGCCCTTCCACTGTAACGATGTCTCCAGATCTAAGGTGGAAATCCACGATGCTGATGACAATGAATCCACTAGAAGCTCCGAGCTTCCACTCGCAGCTCATGGAGTTAGGATACAAGTCAGGGTAATTTTGAGAGGTCAGATTGTAGACGGGGCTCTCTTGCAGGTTGATAGTCGTCTCTCCACATTCATCTGATGAACGTAGTCAAAAGGAAGAACAAAACAATAAACAAAACGGAAAGGAACTTGTTCACTGCCCATTATTTTCTTCCCAGCGCAAGGTACCAGGTGAATTGCTTAATCGTTGAGAGAAATTGAGATTAATACAATGTACCTGCATTCAAACAAGATTTTCTGCAGCGTTTGGGTTAAATGAAAAAAAGGTTTCCTGCACATGCTTAAACAGATAATTATTGCCGCGGATGTAATTTTCTGGGAAACAATAGTTACGAATACGCCAGAAGGGCTGACGAGGATGGCTTTTGATGTTTATGGTCTAATAATCAACTTTGCTGCCATTGCATAATTGTGAAATTTATTTACTGGGGAAGCTGCAGGTGTGAGTATTTCGGGGAAGTCTCACTTTTTGGCGACACAGGATTTAGGACCCATGTAGCGTACATAATGTCTTGCATGCCTAATGCAAGCAAAACACTCATTCTGATCAAGTGTTCCTGTTTATTTCAACATGAGAATATGTTATTAGGGCATATAAAGTTCACGGTCTCGCACTTATAGGGGCCACTTGCATTGAGAATGCGTCAGTGGGAAAAATATAAGCTTGGAAAAAAATGGGTGTTTCTTGAGAGCAGCATGTCTGTTTTCAAACAAAGGGTGTCGTGATGACCGAAAGCCATTACTGGGAAAATCCTCAAGGATCGGTCCGGGCAAAATGCACTACAACGATCGTATCGGTGTGGGAGGGGGATTCCGCCACCGGCTTGGTGTCAAAAATGGAGAATAAAGAAATGTATGAGTCAACTGAATAAACTTCCTACCAACAGGATGTGCTCCGGTTCCGGGTAAGGACACGCCGAAACAGGCCAAAACAAGAGTCAAAGCAGTCATCAAAACCATCTCTGAAAAAAAAACAACGGAAAAATATCCATAGCAGCGTTATCTGAAATCACCCTCAAATTAGAAATACTAAGGTCAATCGGAGGAGTGGGAGAGAAGTCATTGACCACTGGATAACTGGATTATCTAGCCCCCTTTTTGTCTTTGATGCTTAAGGTAAATGAATATTTTATAAGAAAAATTGATAAAGTATCAAGGTAAAAGGAAAACAATCAACACAACAGAACCTCTTGTATAAAGATAAAGACGCCAGATCCAGCTGAATCTGGAGGAGTTTCATGCGGCAATCCTGACGACTTCTTCTTTGAGGACGGAATATTGAATTCGGTTTTATACAGATCGACTTTGAAGAATCAGCGGCTTTGTAATACAGCGCGGGGGCTACTGCAAATGACTATATGATGCGTTACCATGTCACCGGATTCATCCATTCATCACACGCTATTAATTAACCCTGAGCAGCGCATCCTAGCCTAATGCGGTTTTCCGTACTGTTTTTTTGGGAACCATAAGCGATATACGTACGAGTTACATGAATCACATTTCCATATCCGTATCATTTGCCACAATTCATCACATTTTCGGTGAACACTCATCGCAATTTACGTACATGCACAGACCCAAGGAACACCTGAAAACGTGCGTATGGAAAAGCGCGCATTTTGTTCATATGAAGGGTTAATGGATCCATCGATCTCTATTGTACAGACTTCATCATGGAGATCAATGAATAGATCATACAATATAGGGGCTGTGCATTAAGTACGACTTCTTGGACCCCCCTTCCTCCTGTATGCATGGCTTACGCAATGGCTCCAACCTCCCTTCCCGTACACAAACGCATTCCAGATATCTTTGTGTCATGAGTAATGTTGCGGTTTACTAATAATGGGTGTTGGCACGGGAGGATAATTGATGAGGTGGACTGTGTTTGAATGGTTTTTTTTCGGCACAGAAAAGCTGATTCTGGTATTTATTTGTATATGAGAAAGTGTATTGATATGGGGAAGATTCATTGATGGCAGATTTCAGTTTGCGCATAATACGCACTGGCTTGAAAGCCCCTTTACGAATGGTGTACGCAACGGCACCAACTCCACTCGTGCATACGTACTTTATGGACGGCCACATATTACTTTACGAGCAAGATATGTCATACTTATGTCTGAATTATTATGGTAATAACAAATCATAAGATGGTAGTCTTTGTTAAAGGTTGTGTAGTACAGTAATTATTCTAATTTCATTCAGTGTGATCAATATTGATACTAATTCGACTGTTGTTTTAGTATCAAGCAAGTGTTGCAGCGCAGTCAAACTTCTGATTCGACGAGTAAACATAACGTTAACCGGATAACAGAACACGGAACGGTATTTTTGTATTAACACATAAGGTGGATACGGTCAGTATGCCACAGTGCGGTTTGATTTGGACACGTTTTCCATGTTAAATTGTTTACCGTATTGTTTACCAAATGATCAGCAATTATCGTTTGGTTTACCAGCCTACACGATTGCTGAGAAATTCTTCTGTTGGCAAAGAAAAAAACAGTTATTATTAAACTATTGACAATAACCATTTAAAACAATAACAAAAGTTATACAATATACTCAGTAATATTTACAAANTGGGCTTGTCGCCAAATCACCAAGCTCCAAACCTGGCCCTTCCACTGTAACAATGTCTCCATTTCTAAGGTGGAAATCCACGATGCTGATGACAAAGAATCCATTAGAAGCTCTGAGCTTCCACTCGCAGCTCATGGAGTTAGGATACTGGTCAGGGTAATTCGGAGAGGTCAGATTGTAGAGGGGGCTCTCTTGCAGGTTGATAGTCGTCTCTCCACATTCATCTGATGAACGTAATCAAAGGGAAGAACAAAACAAAAACAAAACAATAAATGGAAAGGAACTTGATCACTGCCCATTGTTTTCCTCCCACTGCAAGGTACCAAGTGAATTGCTTAATCGTTGAGAGAAATTGAGAATTGATAAAAAATGTACATGCATTCAAACAAGATTTTCTGCAGCGTTTGGGTTGAATGAAAAAAGGGTTCCTGCACATACTTAAACAGATAATTATTGCCGTGGATGTAATTTTCTGGGAAACAATAGTTACGAATACGCCAGAAGGGCTGACGAGGATGGCTTTTGATGTTTATGGTCTAATAATCAACTTTGCTGCCATCGCATAATGGTGAAATTTATTTACTGGGGAAGCTGCAAGCGTGAGTATTTCGGTGAAGTCTCACTTGTTGGCGACGTAACACAGGATTTACGACCCATGTAGCGAACATATTGTCTTGCATGCCTAATACGAGCAAAACACTCATTCTGATCAAGTGTTCCTGTATATTTCAACATGTGATTATGTTATTAGGGCATATAAAGTTCTTGGTCTCGCAGTTAAGGGGGGCCACTTGCATTGAGAATGCGTCAGTGGGAAAAATATACACTTGGAAAAAAATGGGTGTTTCTTGAGAGCAGCATGTCTGTTTTCAAACAAAAGGTGTCGTGATGACCGCAAGCCATTAGTGGGAAAACACTCAAGGGTTGCTCCAGGTAAATGCACTACAACGGTGTGGAGGGGGGGGGATTCCGCCTCCAGGTTTGGTGTCAAGAATGGAGAATAAAGAAATTCGTGAGTCAACTGAATAAACTTCATACCAACAGGATATGCTCTGGTTCCGGGTATGGACACGCCGAAAAAGGCCAAAACAAGAATCAAAGCAGTCATCAAAACCATCTCTGAAAAAACAACGGAAAATATCCATAGCAGCGTTATCTGAAATCACCCTCAAATTAGAAATACTAAGGTAAATCGGAGGAGTGGGGGAACAGTCATTGACCACTGGATTATCTCGCCCCCTCTTGGTATTTGGTGCTCAAGGTAAATGAATGTTTTATAAGAAAAATTGATAAAGTATCAATGTCAAAGGAAAACAGGAACCTCTTGTATATAACATTAAGACGCCATGTCCAGCTGAATCTGGACGAGTTTCATGCGATAATCCTGACGACTTCTTCTTTGAGGACGGAAGGTATTGCATTCGGTTTTATACAGATCGACTTTGAAGAATCAGCGGATCTGTAACTTAAACACAGTGCGGGGGCTACTGCAAATGACTATATGGTGCGTAGTAGTTGAAAACTGACAGTTATGGAGCACAACCCCTTTTTCGCCGTTTTAGCAAAAAGCCCTGGGTTGTACATCGACTCAAAAAATCGGGGGAATCCCCTAAAAATCTGGAATTCCAGATTTTAACAATTTTCCCTGGGTACCTCATCGACCCAAAATAAGACCCAAAAATACCGGGTAAAATAGACACCTTAAGGGCCAAAAACCCCCTTTCACCCACCACTCGCGCCGGGGATTCCCACTCACCTTTTGACCTTGGCGCACTTTTCCTGTAAACAACTCGTGACTTGACGCCGATCGCACCAACAATCACTCTCAAAAACATGGACTTCCCATCACTTGCCCGTTATAAAAAACGGAAAAAATAATAAACACTACATAAAAATAAATGGTAGATAAAACTACAAATGTAAATTGTTATTTTCGCAAAGACACCAGAAATTCGATCGATTTGATAGATTCGTACGATTGTTTTCATTGTTTAAATTCCAAAAGTTTATGCAAATGCACCGATTGTAAAGAATGCCACAATTGTCACCAATGTAACGACTGCACCAGACGGAACGACTGCTCCACCTGCGACGATTGCGGTAGATGTATAAATTGCGTGGCTTGTTTTAATTCATACGACTGCCCAAATTCAAATGCCTTGGACAGTTGCGAGGACTGTCATGAGTGTGCCCATTGTATCGAGTGTTTTGGTTGTACGTATTGCACCTGCTGCGTAAATTGTGTCGAGTTGGAAGGAATGGATCACGTGGTGCTCGTAGATGGTAAGCATAAAAAGCTGAGGCACGCGTTAGAGAACGAGCCACTGCCCGATTCAGCGACTAAACTCGACGCGGATTTATACAAAATTGGACTAATTATTGAACACGACGTTGACG